AAGAAAAAGTACCTGGAATAAATTTAAGCAAGGAGGTAAAAGACCTGTAATAACACTGAAGAAAGAAATTAAGGAAAGTACAAATAAGGGAAAGCATATACCCTGTTCATGGACTAGAAAAATTAATATCATCAGCCTCTGGGACAACTTCAAGTTTCCCAACATTTGCATCATAGAGGTGAAAGAAGGAGAAGAGAGTCAGAAATTAGAAATGTATTTGAAAAAATAATGTTCTTTACTCCTAATTTGGTGAAGGAAATAGACATGCAAGTCCAGGAAGCACAGAGAGTCTCAAACACCAAGACACATCATAGTTAAAATGCCAAAGGTTAAAGATAAAGAGAAAATCTTAAAAGCAGCAAAAGAAAGCACAGAGTTACCTACAAGGAGTCCCTATAAGACAGTCAGCGACTTCTCAAAAAAAAACTTTGCAGGCTAGAAGGGTTTGGCAAGAAATATTCAAAGAAAAGAAAGGACCTACATGAAAAGAAGGGACCTACACCCAAGATTTCTCTGCCCAGCAAAGCTATCATTTAAAGTCAAAGGGCAGATAGAGTGCCCAGATAAGAAAAAACTATAGGAGTTCATCATCACTAAACCATTAGTATATGCACTGTCAAAGGGATTTATTTAAGAAAAAGAAGATCCAAACTATGAACAAAAAATGGTAATAAATACATATCTATCAACAATTAAATCTAAAAAAAAAAAAACACTAAGTGAACAAGAAGAACAGAGACAGAATCTTGGACATGGAGAACATTTTGATGGTTCCAGATGGGATGGAGTGTCAGGGAATAGGTGAAATGGTGAGGTGATAAAAAGTATAAATAGTTAACTAAAGAATAGCCATGGGGATATTAAGTACAGTATAAGAAATATAGTAGCCAAAGAACTTATACACATGACCCATGGGCATGAACAAAGGTGTGGAGACTGCCTGAGAAAGTGGGAGATGCTGGCTTGAGGGAGGGAAAGGGCATAAAATTGGGATAACTGTAATAGCATTATCAATAAAATATAATAAAAATAAATAAAGCAGGACATGGGCAAGAAGGCTTAAAATTCAATATAAAAGAAGATCCAGGGATTTTCAGACAAGATGTGGGCATAGGTAGACACACTTTGCCTCCATGTGCATCCACAGAAAGAATTACAACCAGATGTCAAAACAAATAACATCCAGAATGATCAGAAAATCAAGCTGTATGGAAGTCCAACAACCAAGGATTTAAAGAAGCCACATTCATCCAGATGAGTAGAAGGGACTGAGTTGCAGAAATGGACAGAGAGGTAGTGTGGTGTGGAGAGGCAGGGATGGTGGAATTGATGGTCCCACATTCACATATGGTAGACAAATATCAGGAGGCATACCTGGGGAGAAAGTGATCCAAGCCCAAGGCCAGACCACAGAGCCCAGGGTTCCAGCACTGAGAAGATAAATCCCCATTACCTTTGGCTGTTAAAACCAGTGGGGGTAAGCAAAGCCCAAAAAACTACCAGATTTTTGCCACTTAAAGGGCCCACATGGACTTAGAACATATGCAAATCCACCCACTCTGGGATTCACCATCAGGGCAGCAACTGGGAGGGTGCCAGTCACATACAGGAAGCAGGTGAAGTGATTGGAAATGGGGCGAGTGCTGGACAAACCTCCAGAAGCCAGGCAGCAGTACTGTCCCCTCTCAGAATCCCCCCCCCACACACACACTGCCACAAAACAGTGAAGCAGATTGCCCGCCCTGGCAATTTCCTAAGGCTCTGCCCCACACAATTTAGAGGTGTCTTTTCTACATATGCCACACTACTAAGACAGGGAGCAAAAGCAGCTCTTCCTAATACAAAGAAACAAACATGTAGGAGACTGCCAATTTGAGGAGACAACAAAATGTGGCCCAGATGAAACAACAGAACAAAATCCCAGAAAAAAAACAAACAACAACTAAATGAGATGGAGATAGCCTATTTATCAGATGCAGAGTTCAAAACACTAGTGATCAGGATGCTCAAAGAACTCATTGAGGAGAAAAAACATAAGGGAAGAAATGAAGGTTACACTAAGTGAAATAAAGATCAATCTCCAGGGAACCTACAATGGAGAGGAAGCCAAGAATCAATAAAGTTAATAATTTGGAACACAAGGAAGGAAAAAGCATCCAATCAGAACAGTAGGAAGGAAAAAGAATTTAAATAAACAAGAACAGACTTAGGAATCTCTAGGATAATTTTATACATACCAACATCCGAATCATAGGGGTGCCAGAAGGAGAAGAGGAAGAGCAATAATTGAAGCCTATTTGAAAAAATAACACAGGACAATGTCCCTAATTTGGTGAAGGAAATAGATATGCAAGTCCAGGAAGCACAGAGAGTCCCAAACAAGATGGATACAAAAAGGACCACACCAAAACACATCATACTTAAAATGCCACAGGTTAAAGATAAAGAGAGAATCTTAAAAGCAGCAAGAAAAAAGCAGTTGGTTACTTACAGGGGAATTCCCATAAGACTATCAGCTGATTTCTCAAAAGAAACTTTTCAGGCAAAGGGAATGGTAAAAAGTATTCAAAGAGATGAAAAGCAAGAACCTACAACCTAGATTACTCTATCCAGCAAAGCTATCATTTAGAATGGAAGGGCAGACAAAGTGCTACCCAGACAAGATAAAGCTAAGAGTCCATCATCACTAAGCCAATATTACACAAAATGTTAAAGGCATTTAGTTAAGATGAATAATATCAAAACTACGAACATTAAAAAGGCAACAAGTTTACAATTATCAGCAACTGAATCTAAAAAAGAAAAAAAAAAAACCCTAAGCAACAACCAGAACAGGAACAGAAGCATTGGTATGGAGATCATTTGGAGGGCTATCAGCTGGGAGAGGGAAGGAGAAGAATGGGTGAAATGGTGCAGGGATTAAGAAGCACAATTGATAGGAGCCAAACAGACAGGGGGATGTTAAGAATAATATAGGAAATGGACAAGCCAAAGAACTTACACACACTACCCATGGACATGAAGTAAGAGGCAGGATTGCTGGAGGGAAGGATGGTACTGGGCGGAAGGGGTCAAAGGTAGAAAAATTGGGACAACTGTAATAGCATAATCAGTAAAATATACTTTTATAAAAGTATAGTTAATTATTTTCACTCCAGAAAATTCTGAAGTGAAATGAAATTAAATTCATAATTAACTGTCATATAAAGTAAATTTTAGGGAGAAAAGCAAAAGAAAGTATAAACTAGTACACAGTACAAATTGGCCAGATGTTGTTATTTCCAACACTATCATTATTTCTAGCATTGTAATAAATTTCCCTTTTGGTAAAATAACCATTCCTTGACATAATGGGAAAGAGAGTTGTCTAAAAGGTTTCTGTACATAATGTCAGCATACCCAGCGGCTCAAAATCCACAAATCTTGGAGTTCCTTCAGTATGATCTCTCTTTCCACATCCAAACTATCCATGAGTCCCATAAATCCTGACTCAAAAAAGTACATCTCAAATCCATCTATCTCTTTTTTTGTTGCTATCAGGATACCACTCTCTCTCACCCCAGCTCCTAAAACTGTCTGCTTTCTCTTTCACCCCCAGACAATCCATTCCTTACACAGCAGCTAATATTTGGAATAAAATATAAACCTCTTGCCAAACCCTTCAAAGCTCTGCATAGTTCTATAACCTCTTTCCACTCATCTCTGCCTCTCTAAGTCAGCCACACTGCAACTTTTCCTGTCCCTCAAACTCACCAAGCTTACCAAGCTCTTTTCTCCTTCAAAATCATTGTACCTGGTATTCCTTCCTTTTATTTTCTCTCAGTTTCATTGAAATACTATTGACATATAAAAGATGCAAGTTTAGGTGTACAAAGTAATGACTGAACACACACATATACATGGCAAAATGATTACCACAATAAGGTTACAATTGTGTATATGTGGTGATAACATTTAAGATTTGTAAGATCTATTCTATAAACAACTTTCAAGTGTATATTACAGTAGTACTGTTGTTTAATCATAGTCACCAGGCTATGCATTATATCCCTTTGACCAGCTTTTCCCCCATTTACCCCATTCTCCAGCCCCTGGCAATGAGCACTCAATTTCCTACTTCTCTTGAATTTAGCATTTTAAGATTCCACAAGTAAGTGAAAACATACAGTAGGTCTTTCTCTTGTTTAACTTATTTCACTTTACCATCCCTTTTAATGAGTATGCTTTTGCCACCAAAAATACCACACACATACATACAGACTCCACCCACTCTTAAAATAGCTCCTTCATAGGACTTATCTTAAACACTAACTCTTAAAAGAGCTTTTTGTAACCACCATCTCTAAAATAGCTCCTTATCACCAAATTATTTGTTTTTCTTTCCTTAACAAAATTTACCACCATTTATAATTATTTTGCCAGTTTATTTTTACATCCATCCCCACCTTTACAATAAGCTATAAGAACAGGATATCCACTTTATTCATCATATTCCGAAAAGCAGCAACTGTCTGATACATAATAGAAGCCTATCAATACACATCAAACAAATGAATGAAACAGTAAATGAATATATGACTACATTAGAAAGTGGGACTAATAACACCATACATAGAAATACATAAACCAGAAAAAGGAGCAAGTGCTTAAGAAGAAAACTAAGATATTTGAGTTTAGTGCCAGGGAGCTGAAAATAAAGGGCTGATGGTCACACCAGCTGGGAAAGACATATAGATTGAGGTTCTTCTGATTATAAGTGTTAATTAAAAATAATAATGATGATTACATCACAAATGATACAGAATTCAGTAAGATAAATAACACAAATATAAAATGATTACAGCCTGCCTAGATAGGAGAATAACATAAACACTACAACATCAGGACAAACCAAAACTTTCAAAGGAAAAAGTAATTATGTTAATACTTATTTAGTAATATAAAAATAACTACTTTATTTTTACTTAAGTAATTTCCTAAGAAGAATAATGTAATCCTACCTTCCTACTATTCATTGCTGGTCATATCTTAGCTAAAGCAGCAGGTCCATGTTGAAGGATTATATGCCAGGGATGAGGAAGACGCTTGATAAAATTTTCAATGAAGTCTCACAGGTATGATCACAGGTCTAGCCAGAAAACAGGAGCTACAAGAAGAAATTCAAAGAGTCAGAACTGTACGCTACAAAACAAAATGGTAAAAAAGGCTCAACTGGAAGTCAAATACGGCATTTTCTCCCATTCACCACATTAAGAATAAGAATGCTAGACTTACTTAACTTGATCCCCTGCTTACTCTCTCCCTTTTCTTCCTACAAATTTCCCAATGAGAAATGTATCTAACCTTCTCTTCTAAACTATTTCCTGAGTTGTGAATAGGTAATTCATGATCTTTTCCATTTTCACAGCATAAAACTAATTTCAAGTTTGAAGCACATCAGAAGAAACAACTACACTTATTAAAATATTATTACAGCCTGAAGAAGTAATTAACTATGTGAGAAAACTTTTGCAGAAGCTGGGAGGGTCTGGGAAGGATTCTCCTGGCACACACATACTTTCTCTAACAGTATGCCAAAGTATGACCCTTGCATAGGCTATTCTCTCAACCCCTGAAACTAGAATTCCTAAGATGTTTCTTTGTGCATAAGGGGTCAAAGTGCATATAACAAGTATATGCACTTTGCAGCCCTCTCCCAGTTTCTCATTTTCTGCCTCACACCCTCATATTTCTAATTCCAACTTCTTGGCTTATACTCAGCTCACCCCTTCTTTCAAGCTCCTCATTTTTGTTTCCCTATTCTGCTTCCTGTCATCTCTCCTACTTCCTTAAATTTCATACAAATCAGAGGACATTTCATTGATGTTACCAGTAAGATTACTCCTTTCCTTCTGGTCAGGAAACTGACCAAACATGGAAATATCTTCCAAGTCTCCTATTCTTTCATGCTCTTTACCCATTTTCAAAGAGTTCCTCCTTTGCCCCACTTCCCCCAGACCAGCATTCTATTCTCTTCTAAATTTGGCAAGCTTCTCAATGCTAGAGCTGGTTATAAATCTAATCTACATATAATTAAAGTGTTATTATAGCCCTCTACTTCTACTGAACTGTGATATGATCAAAGACAGGGACTGTTATCTTAATATAGCAGCATCCTACACAATACCTGGAACACTATAGCCACCAAACAAGTGATTACTGAAGGGGTGCCAAAAGGAGAAGAAATTGAAAACTTACTTGAACAAATAATGAAGGGAAACTTCCCAAATCCGGCAAAGGAAATAGACTTCCAGGAAGTCCAGGAAGCCCACAGAGTCCCAAAGAAGTTGGACCCAAAAAGGAACACACCAAGGCACATCATCATAAAGTTACCCAAGATTAAAGATAAATAGAGAATCTTAAAAGCAGCAAGAGGAAAGGAGAGAGTTACCTACAAAGGAGTGCCCATAAGACTGTCAGCTGATTTCTCTCAAAAGAAACCTTACAGGCAAGAAGGGGCTGGAAAAAAGTATTTGAAGTAATTAAAGGCAAGGACCTACATCCAAGATTGCTCTATCCAGCAAAGCTATCATTTAGAATGGAAGGGCAGATAAAGTGCTTCCCAGGTAAGATCAAGTTAAAGGAGTTCATCATCACCAAGCCATTATTATATGAAATGTTAAAGGAACTTATCTAAGAAAAAGAAGAAGATGAAAAACTATGAAGTGAAATGACAACAAACTCACAACTATCAACAAAGGAACCTAAAAAAAAAATTAAAAAACAGTGAAAACAAAAACTAAGCAAACAACTAGAACAGGAACAACAGGAACAACTAGAATAGAATCAGAGAAATGGACATCCCATGGAGGGTTTTCAGTGGGGGGGAAAGGGGTACAGAGAAGAAGAAACATAATTGGTAGCCATAAAATAGATGGGGATAGGTCAAAAATGGTGCAGGAAACAGAATTCAAAGAACTTGTAAGTAAAATCCATGCACATGAACTAAAGGGGGGAATTCTGGAGGATTGGGGGATGCAGGACAGAAGGGGAAGAAAGGGGGGTGGAATTGGGAAAACTATAATAGTACAATCAATAAAATATACTTAAAAAGAATTTTTGTATTAAATGATAATTCATGACTTGAAATATTTAAATTTGAAAATGAATCATGACTTCTCTTTTATACTGCATTCAATAATCTTCAATTGAACCCCCAGACATAATACAGTAAACAGTATTACTTATAAAGATTTCCAAAGGAACAAAATATAATGAGTGTACATCTAAATGTACACATTATATATGTCACCTAATCCCACTCTTAAGACAGACCCCCAGGCCCTGGCCAGGTAGTTCAGCTGGTTAGAGTAGTCATCTCTGTGCACCAAGGTTGCGGGTTCAATCCCCAGTCAGGCATGTGCAAGAATCAACCAATGAATGCATAAGTGGAAGAATAAATCCATATTTCTTTCTCTCTCATCCTTGCTCTCACTCTCCCTTCCTATCTCTCTCTAAAATCAATAAATATTTTTTAAAAAAAGACCCCCCAAAATTACTGGACAATCCATTTAATTTGAAATTTTTTAGCCTCCCTTCTCTATCAGCAAAGATAGTTGGAAGATATCTAGAATCCCATGTATTGATTTCTCACTGTGATAAAGAAACAGTTATTTTCAAAGATCTAAAAACAAAATGACAGCAATTCAAATAGGATTCCATGCCAACATTGAGCATCAAGTGTCTTGTTCAAGAAGATAGAATTCCAGTGTCTTATTTATGTATCACCCTCCAACTCGAGTCTCTTCTCTACATTATATTTTTCAATGAAAAAAAAAAAAAAACACCAGTATTTTTTCCACTTGATACTGAAATAATTGGGGTTAAAAATAAGTAACAACTTTCTTGATAGAATTTCTAAATGGAACATTTTATTTGTTTAACCTACTATAAACCTATGATTTAAAATTCCTTGTATTACTTCAAAGGTATTATTATCCTTCTCAAAAGTCATCAAAGCTTTCTGTGGATGAATTAAAAATGTTTAATAATGACTTTCTGGTGAACCTTAATCTTCCCCACCAACTTCCCCAACCACACAGGTAGCCATCTCTAACTCACACTCATAATCAAATATAGTTCCAATTCCTTAACTGTGCTTCTCCTCACAACTAGAACTAGAATGAGGCAAGAGAGGCACCTAGGGTACAAAATTTACGAGCACATTCACTCTTGGGGCCATGCAAGTGCCACTCTAAAAGTCTTATTTTGTGTCCTAGGCATCTCTCATGCCTCAGCCTAGTCCTGTGGTCCTACTTCTCTGTCCCACCTTCACTCCTCTTACTTCTCTAATAAATAACAAACCACAATTTAATTCTGACAAACCAAAATTCTAAAATTGAGCAACAAACTTAAATATAATTTTGCATCCATTTAAAATCATGTTTTCAAGGAAAATCTCTTGTTCACAACATGATGTTAGGTAGAAAATAGATGAGGCAAGAGTGCCTATATACAATAAGATTTTTTTTCAAACGTGCATGAGTTGCATGGCATGTAACAGATCTGTGTTATTTTTCACTCCCTTTCTATTGGTGGCAGCATCTCAATTTTTTTCTGTTGAACTACCCTTCTCTTATTCTCAGTCCATGTTGGGTGGCACTAATCATTCCCACTCTCAAGTTCCTGAAATGGACATAATGTTCCTGAAATAGGTGCATGACCCACCCAGGTCTGGACAATCAGCATATTCCCTCCCCCAAGTGGTAGTTTGGGAATGGGTATGTAACACAATAGTGTAACAGGGTGCAGCCAAGAGAGGGACCCCCCAGTAGGGATTTGTAATGGGGTTCAGAAAAGCTTAGAGATGACTGGCTCCACACCACAGGGCCACACCTGCCCAGAATGCTGGCAGCTGTGGCCAGTTGTGGGAGGAGCCGGTAATGAGGCTGCAGAGGAAGGCTGGCGCTGGGATTTAAACCCAGGCACGGCAGCCATTTAGCATCTTTTCGGGGACCATGGGGCTTGGGCATCTTTTGCCACATGGATGGTGCTAGGAGCCTGAATCACATGGACTTGCACTTCTTTCCTGAGATACGATACCCCAGACTGGGCAGAGGGAGAAGGACTGTGTGCATTTGTGGGTATTCTAAAGATCTTTAGTCTGTATAACTTTCAAATAAATAACTCTTTTCCTTTTCACCAATTTCTACCATTGAGAGATGTCTTTCCTCTGATGATGGGCAAAGTGAATCTAGTACGGGGGAGGAACCCCCAGAGAAAAAAGGGGGGTCCTTTTATATCGTTCAGCGCCCCTCAGCCAGTCTGTTCGGTAACAGGACTGACAAAACTCAATTCTGCAAGAACTACTCAGAAAGTTATGTTTCACTTGAGGTTGCTAAACTGAAAAAACATAAGTATCTACTTGACAGTGAGCCAACCAGAGAAAATAATTGCTAAGAGATGGAAAGGGATATAAAGAAAACTGAAAACATTTTGCCCCGAGATCTAATCCACCTTAGTTGAACTGTGAATAGATATACTTGCTGAAATCTTGGAATGACTGTTGGGAAACAATTATCTCTGGATTTCTCCTGTTGCTGCACAATCAGAGCCTCCTGAGCAAAAGGTACTATAAGGATATTTGCATGATAGACAGCCTTGGAAACTACAGACAGAGTCTCCCTACAGACTGAGACCTCCAATGAGCTGTGGAGAAATAAAGCCCTCTCCTTCCCTGCCCTGGAAAACATTCACTTATGTTATTTTTTAACTTATGTTTATTATGTTACAACTTTATTTATTTATATTTACATGTATTCCAGTATAAATAAACCTAGATACTTTCCCTGTCTCCCCTGGAGAAATTTGCTTAATGAGTAATCTCTCTCCCTCTGCAGGGTATTCTCTTATCATCAGTGTTTCAGAATTAAGTTACATGAGGCAGTACATTATTTTTCTACTTATTAACTCATTCAACAAATATTCGCTGAGAGTGTACTAAGCTTATATGCTATGCATTTTTCCTCACAACAAAACAGACAAAAATTCCTGCCCTCAACAAGATTATATTCTAGAGAAAGGAAACAAAATACAAAATAAGTGAAATGCACAGTATTAAATGGTAATAAGTGTTATAAAGAGAAAGAAAGCAGGAAAAGGTAACAA